AGAGAGAGAGAGAGAGAGAGAGAGAGAGAGAGAGAGAGAGAGAGAACGTGCTAATATTAGTGAGATTGAAAGTGAAAGTAGGGTGGATTATTTTGAAATAGTACTAATGCTAGGAAATCAGCTACTATTTTCTTCTGAATGGTAACATCTATTGTTTCTATCAGGCAACCAAAAAATAGTTCCAGGGACGATTGAATCTTTGTAAAGATATGTGTAATTTAAAGATAAATAAAAGTGTGCTTCTTCTGTTTATAAGCTCAAAAAGTCCATTTTCCCAACTCCTTTTTAGAGTGTTTCTTTGGAGACAAGTGGGTCAAAGTCCCTTGTCTAAACGTTTGAATGTCAATAAAACTCTCCAGGGGCAAATAAAACCATTGCCAGCTTTACAACCAAGAAATGTCTCCAAGGTCCTGAGCTCTATCCCATTGAAATGTAAACACCCAGAAAGATAGAGCTCCAGGCTCCCTAACCCAGGCATCTAACCTGTCTGTAACCATTTCTTCTAAGCAAGATAAGTTTTACTATTCTTTCAATGGGGGGCAATTAACTAAGCAAATAGCTACCTCAACTCCCAAGTGAATTATAGGATGAATTTTAGGAGGGAAAGAAGAGCAAATTCGGGGTGTAACAGTAAATTGTGCTGTCAAGTCTTCTTATGAGAAAACAGGACAGCATTGGTCAAGTCTTCTTATGGGAAAACAGGACAGCATTGGTCATAAAACATGTTACATGCTGGCTAAAAATGTGCAGTATCTGTCTATAAATACTGTGAAATTTCATCCTGACTTTCTAGTCAGTTGCAGGTTGCCTATATGCATGTATTTGTTTCTGTTTGCTCAATAATTAAACAATGTTTCTTCTTTTCTACATTTTCATGGCGAGGACATTTTATTGGTAAAACTTTTGATTCACCAACAGTACGAAAAAACTAAATTTACTACCCACCCTCCAAACCCCTTTAGAGAAGAACTAAAGTTATTACGTGCAAATAAATTTGAATATGCTGACTGAGAATAATTCAATTCATGGTATATATAAAATTGTTCTATTTATAAAAAGATGTATAAATCAATAATAAAAAATAAAAGTGTAGAAGAATATATACTCCATAATTAACAGTACTTCTAACTCATTGACAAGATTGGAGGTTTTTTTCATTTCACACTTTGCTGAGTATTGTGAATGTTTTTCAATGACTGAATTATTTTATTATCACAGAAAAAAAACACATGCACATTAAGAAAGTAATTTCCTTTTTGAAAAATATAATAAATTCTCTCAAGAAGCATTTTCCGCTAGGTATTGAGTATCGCAATCCATTGGTCATTTTTGTTGTTGTTGTTAAACAAACATTTAATGACCAATGACTATATATAGTCTGTCATACAATAGCATTCAACTGCATACAGTTGAGTTATCATATTAAGGTAGGTCAGATAGTGGTAACCAGTGAGTCTCATGGGATTCCCCTTCACCATCAGCCAACGTGTGAGAGGCCTACCTGACCCATGTGGGTCTGAGTGCTCGCTGCTATAGAATCGCCAATCACACCCAATAGACAGAACTTAGAGGAAAGGCTTTTATTTCAGAAGACGTCAACCGGGAGACAGAAGGTAAAGTCCCAACTGCCTCCCCAATCAACTGAGGGCTGAGGTTTATGTAGGTAAATGTATCAGAGACACAGGATGTATCTTCAAATGTGATGGATAACTGCTTCCTGACATTATCTATGGCAATAAGGTCTTGTCTAATTTCCATTCCGTGATGTTATCTTTGAGAGACATATTGGGTGAGACAGGAGGTAGGGTCTTCAAGTGTGAGGGACAGCTGCTTTCAATACAATCTTAATCACTAAGGGCTAGCTACTAAAGAAAAACATAGTTCTATAGTCTATACATGAGTGTAGGGGGATTGCTTCACTTAAGATAGGAAAGGCTACTTGGAATGATGGACTGTACTCATTCCTTTGGTATGGACAGAAACCAGGAGCATTTAATATAGTGGCAGGGGCCAATAAAAGTACTTCATCCTGGTGAGCAAACAATATAATATTATAAATGTTTTATAATATAATAAGTATTGTTTTATGACAATAACAAGTTGGAACTGGGCCAAAATGTTATTTTATCCATGTGGAATTTATTTTAAATTATTTCAGGATGTCTTAGTCCATTAGGGCTGATATAACAAAATACTATAAAATGTATGGCTTTTAAATGTTTGTAGAACAGACCTTTACTTTTCACACTTCTGGAGGCTGGAAGTACAAGATCAAGGCGCTGGCAAATCAGGTGTCTGGTGAGGGCCCACTTTCTGCTTCACAGATGGCACCTTCTACCTGTGTCCTCTCATGGTGGAAAGGAAGAACCCTGGTCTCTTCAGTCTCTCATAAAAGCACTAATCTCACTCATGAAGGCTTCACTGTCATGACCTAATCTCTTCTCAAGGCCTCTCACTTTGTGATCCTGTACCATCACACTGGGGATTAGGTTACAATATGTGAATTTGGGGAAGGGGACATCAACGTTCAGTACATAGCACACAATAAGCAGTGTGCTGTGGGTGTTTAAAAGCTGACTCCAACTTATACCCACAGGGTGGTTAATGAGCGTGCAAACTGCCCTACTCTGAAATGATCACCTTAAGAGTTGGTGATTTACCACAGGAAGCATTCTTTTCTGTACTAACAGCAAAGAGGTTGTTAATTGACATAAGGGTTGATAGAAATAATGAAGTCACAGGGGCTTAAAGTATGTGATTGTTTAGGAGAAGAGAGAAGATCCCAGTCTCTTTTTATGAACATGGCATGAGGTAAGGCAGGCACGGCATGAGGTAAGGCAGGCCCAGTAGTTCATGGCAGCTGTGCATGTTCCAGAGATTGCATCTGCTACTCACTTTCCTCACTCCAGACAGGATCCTGCCCCTGATTTAACAGCAAAGCCAGTGATCCTGCCACGTGTCCTCACTCTGTCCACCTTGGGGTGAGCTTTGGCTTCACAGAGAGAGACCTCCCCAGATGCAGACACGTTGTTTAAATGTTCTTACTTCCTCCCTGTATTTAATGTAAGCATATATGGCAGAATTTAATCTGTGACTGAGGAGGCCAAAGGAGATTATGCAACAATGTCTCCTCAGGAATTCTGGGAGGGATCTTCAAGCTCAGTCTAACAGGTGAGAAGGTAGCACTGGTAAGGCAAGTAACAAAGTCTGAGAAAATGGAGAAAGAGTTGTGGAAGTGGCAAAGCAGCTGACTTCTTACTGTACCAAAAATATCACGAGCGAGAATGGATGTGAACCTGCCTTCTTACAGAATTGTTGAAAAGGTGCTTGAAATAGATTTTTGCTCCTTCAATAATTCAATTATTGATAAATTTTCAAGTCATGTGAGAAGTCTTTTGCCCAGAGCCTTACTTGGGGATGTATATAAGGTTTATTCCAACAGACGACAATTTATGCCTGAACTTCAAAGTGGGTGGAGAATCATTGGACTGTTTTTATTGTTATTAACCTACTCCTGATCCCGTCCTGGGTAGGACAGCTATAATTTCATAGCTATAATTTAGCTATATGAACAACTATGAACAGTTATAATTTCATGCCAACATATTCTTGTTGACTCTTTCATGTTCCCTTTGCTAGCCACGTTTGTTGGGGAGATTTAATCAGAAAGCAGGCCTTTTTTCTGTCCCCCTCAATGCCCTTTACCAGACCATCTAAATGTGTAGGACCCAGACCATTCCACTGAGTGAGGCCTTTGGGGACTGGCTCAGGTGCAGAATTTCTCATTCTAGCAGTTTCAGTTGGAGAAACTAAAAGGCAACTAAGCATTGCTTCAGAACTCTGAAGAAAGCAGAGCTGTGATCTTACAACTTTCGAAGGAAGGAAGAAATGGGGAGTAATTGCAATATTGCTGTCTGATGGCTCAGTGTGCAGAATCTTCCACTCTCTCAGGCTGTAGGTGTTATTTTTAGTGAGATTTTTATCCTCATAAAAAAGCGTTTCAGTAGAAGTAGCTTGAACTGATAGAAAAACTATGGCAGAAGAGGTTTGCATGACTCGCTATTTTTTATTATTATTTTAAACATCATAATTGTGCTGGGAGACAATGGTAGTGATTTCCTTCTCAGGTAATTATCATGAGTGAGAAGCTTGAGGAACAGGCACATGGGGTGTCCAGTCCTTCAGAGAGAACAGGGCAGCAGGTTCAGATGAGTGTGCATGTCCTTTCTGCTTCAGGGAATCCCTTCTTCATGAGTTCATAAAACCATGTCCTTTATTTTGAGAACCCCATAGAACAGCTAATACACTGATAACATGGTAAATTGGGGCCCTATTGGAGGGCACCTCGTGTATTTAATTAACCCACATCTGGTGTTTATGTGGCAGGTGAAACTGAAGATAAGATGACTAAGACAAAGTACCGGAGATCAAAAGGTGGTAAACAGAAGTAAAAAGGCCATTTCAACTTCACAACTATCCTGTATATAAAAAGTTCAATGGTCGGGCTGACAACATGGAGCAATGGCAACACAGAGAAAGGCGCCTTGTCCAGTCTGGAACAGGAGACCTGATAGAGGAACAGAAGTTGGCAAATAAAGAATATACTCACAGAGAGGAATCTGGGTGTTTTACCAGATCTGTGTCCTGAGTGCAAAGGCCCACAGTCAATAGAATACACCCAGTTTGTGAAATTACAAGCAGCTTATTCTCGCTACAAGTCTTCAGCACTACATAGCTGAAAAAAAATTTCCTAAAATGTTGACTTTGAAGAAAAAGTTTTCTTCTAATTCACCATCTTTATAAATGTGGGGCAGGGCCGGCCCTGTGGTGCACTCAGGAGAGTGCAGTGCTGGGAGCACAGCGACGCTCCTGCCGCGGGTTCGGATCCTATATAGGGATGACCGGTGCGCTCACTGGCTGACACCGCACCAAGGGTTGTGATCCCCTTACCGGTCACGAAGAAGACAAAAAAAAAAAATGTAGGGCAGAATTTTAAGACCATTTCGGGCCGGCCTGGTGGCGCACTGCTACAGTGTGCTGCTTGGGAGTGCGGCAGTGCTCCCGACGAGGGTTCAGATCCCACATACAGACTGGTTCCTGCTCACTGGCTGAGCGAGGTGCGGGCGCCGCACCGAGGGTTGCGATTCCGTTGCCGGTCCCGGTCCGGTATGGGTGCGACACTGAGGGTTGCGATCCGTTGCCGGACACGAAAAAAGACAAAAAGGGAAAAAAAAAAAAAAGAATTTTAAGACCATTTC